CCCTTTTTTTTTCTTTTTCTTGACTTTTTTGTCGTAGGTTCTCGGTGCCATTTTCTTTTGAACTTGCACCGAGTAGTAGGCGTCGAATTCCAACTGTTTTGAACTCCCTGAACTCTTGGGCATCATTCGCGAGCAGTCCTCTTTCCTTTTGCGGTGTTGCCTGATATCTTGGAGAAATCGAACCGTCAACCTTAGTATCTTGCTAGTGCCTTGGCTCCTGGCCGAGACGTAAGTAGATGTGCCTACGGCCGAGTTTTTCGAAACACGGCGTACCCAAAAAACTTTAGGAGATAAATCATGCGTGTTGCTAAGCTCCTTTGATGGGCGCGGCCTTGGGTAATCTGGTGCCCCCAGCTCCCCTTTTATTAAATCGTCTTTCACAATAGGCCGGATGTCGTCAAACCGAAACCCCTGACACAGCCTGCTTTGCTGCGCAATATTTCGCGGCCAATCCTGTCGGGCTGTTTGAGCAACGGGCGCGGCCGTTATGACCGAGCCGGGTAGTTTTAGTGGAACGCCGTGGTTTTGGCCGAGATAATCTCGGTCGACCGGCCATCGAGGTACGGTCACCTGGTTCTGCTGATCTGTATCATGGAGGGAACCTGGGCGCATTTGCATTGTCGTTTGAATGGCCGAACCGTGTATTTGCGACGGTAGTGCAACAGTCACGCTTTTTTGCTCGCACTGTTGTGGTAACGCTTCGGTCATACTGCTTTGGCCGGACTGCGCTTGATCGGCCAAAGTATGGGTTGGGCTGAATTTCTCGGCTGTAGACACCGTAGGACTCCTTCTGAATGCTTTGGCTAGAGCGTGGAGCGGGCTACATGCTTTCTCTGCCGGTTGGTTTGGCCCGGGGTTTGCCCTTGTGGGCTGGGCCTGCCCCCAGCTGTTGGTCGGCGGCAAAGGATGCTGGCCGTAGCCTGACGCTTGGGTATGGGAAATGACGCCAAGGCTGCTACTTTCGCCGTACGGCTCATTCCTTTCACGTTCCTGACTTCTATGCCCGGCTCCGGGGAATGTTGTGGGCGAAGTCACCGGCATTTTTTCCTGGAAAAGTATTCGCAGTTCTGAAGTGAATCTGCCCACCGTGGCCATGAAGGATGTCTCCATCCAGCAAGCCTGCCTGGATATCAAATCCTCCATTACTGCTTGTTCCTGCATGGACTCGGCCGTGCGATCCGTCGTTACTGGAACGCTGGCCGAGACCCCGACCGTACGTTCGGTCTCGGTAGTTGTGATTGGTGAGGCGGACTCAGGAGTCTCAGAAGTCATTTCGACTGCTTTGTTTTTGAGCTTTGCCTGTGCCCTAGTTTCCACCATAAATTTTGACAAGTGTCCCACCGGGCGTGCCAAAAATGTCTGCCGCGCAAATCTCATGGCCTGGGTTTCCGAGCCGAGGGGATGTGCGTTGACACGCGGTTTCATGCTTTTGGGTGCGGTGCGGTTGTGCGCGGGCGTGCCAGCACGGTCTACCGTGCGTCGATGAATTGATGAGTGTTGGATGGTTGAGTGGTGCGCCTGTTTGAACTCGTCCTCTAATCAAACGATTGTAGCCGAGAGAGGAAATAGTATCGGCTGTTAGGTTCACGTCCTGAACTACAAGGCCGTTGAGTGATGGTGTAGGTGGTGGGTTTTGGGCGGTGCTCCGGCGCGCTGCTCAGGGAGCGACGGTCGTGTGATATATGGGGTGAGTGAACGAACAACAAGGATGGTGCTCCGGCGCCTTGAAAATCAAGGGTCGTATGATATATTGATGAATGGATTTTCCTTACAACCTAACACTACTCCTAGGAAAGCAAGTAAAGATATTGAAAGTGCATTACAGGAAAAAATAAGTTGCTCCGTGGGAGGCTTTGTTTTGGTGTTGAACCCTTTGAATGTAGTTTGAGCCTGGTATTTATAGGAAGAGTCCCTGGAGGAGTAATCGAGGCTGAAAATCTGCATGGTGGAGCTGGATTGGAGCAAGTGGGCAGTCCAATCGACA